CATGGATGCATACCCCTCTAAGATGCTCCATCAACTCGGTACAAGACCGTACCACAAACGGGTAAGTAAAACGATCCGGACCATCAGGCTCAATCCGCATGCGATCGAAAAGATCCATCGCTTTTTTGGGTTCATGGTTCTGTTGGAATCCTCTGATCAGGGTGTTCCAGACGAATGAGTTTGGTTCAGGCATTTGATCGAACAGTTGGGTGGCATAGTACATGAGACCCAAATTTGCACAGCAACTAACAAAGTTCCCGACGGCGAAACTGCTGTGGTGGAGACCAGTTCGGAGAAGGACGACGTGGATTGACCTGAGATGCTTGGCGCATTTAATTGAGTGAGGAGTCTTTAAGAGAGACAAAGCAAGCTGCTTCTGTCGGGTTTCCACCACTTCCGTCATCTGTCCGAGAAAATCCATCCATTGATTCTTAACTATTTAACAATTGATATTTTAAATACAAAATGACGAACTTTTTGAAAATCAATTGGGACAAATATGTCATTTACTCTTTTTATTAACATATGTATACTAGCCTTATGTAAATATTTAATTTTGCTTATGAGCATACAAGCTTGAAAATAGTAACACACCATGGCCCTCCAACTTAACACTCCGATCATCTTTCATCCTCCCCGACATATCCACATACCGAATTTCTCACATACCAAATCCTTAATCTTATCAAAATTACCAACAACATCCAAACAAAAATTAAACCACCACCCCGATCTTAGAATCCAGCAACTGCCATGGACGTCCATTCATCTGCGAAGAATTCACCTGCGGAGATCGAGATCAAGGTGCATAGCATCCCTCCACCAGTCCGCTATCCGCCTTTATACACACAACCACCACCTCTAATCCACCACCATATTCCTCCGCCTCCTCTATATTATCATTTTTCCGAGGAATGGTTTCCCTGGTTAGTGCCCTTCATCTTCATCGTCAACGTAGCCCTATTCGTTCTCTCGATGTATATCAACAACTGCCCCCTCCATTCCCGTAGTTGTATCGGTGTACAAATGCTTCAACGTTTCGCCTTCGAGAATGTCCAAGAAAACCCCCTTCTTGGCCCTTCCTCCGCAACGTACGTTCCAATATATACATTCAATACAGTAACTTCAATTAATGCTTAATGGAGTATCTATCAAACTAAATAACTTTATCGTCGGAGTTTGATTTTAGGCTATTAAAAATGGGAGCATTGGATGCAAATAAAGTGATCCAAGAAGGACAACAATGGCGTATTGTCACTTCCATGTGGTTGCACGCCGGCGTCCTCCATATTTTCACCAATATGTTAAATCTCCTTGCGGTTGGAATTCGCCTCGAACAGGAGTTTGGTTTTGGTGCGTGACTTTTTACCTTTTGACGTCCAAGAGTTTCCATTTCTTCATGTTTTCATAGTACTCCTCGAACTGTTTTCCCATAGCAAGAATTGGGTTACTTTATACACTATCCGGACTCGGTGGTAGCTTGTTGTCATCTTTGTTTCTCCGCAAAAACATTTCCGTTGGTGCATCTGGAGCACTATTCGGTTTACTTGGAGCAATGCTTTTCTGAACTACTTACGAATTGGACTATTTATGCCAACAAAGTACGTATATACGTATTCATTTTCATTTATGTATCGATACACACGACTAGTGCTAATAACGTATATTCCATGCAGTTGGCAACATCGACAATGCTCATTCTCATGATCCTTATTGGCCTAATGGTTGGAATCCTCCCACACGTAGACAACTTTGCACATATAGGAGGATTCATCACAGGATTCTTTCTCGGTTTTATCCTTTTGGTTCATCCACATTCCAATCGGATAAACCAAACTATCGCTCCTCATGGTTACTACACAAAATCGAAATACAAGTCATGTCAACACATATTCCTTGTTCTTTCCGTAATAGCTTTATCTGTGTTGTAAGTGTTGTTCAAATCTCAAATACTTTCCATTTTGAGTCGTTTCATTGCGTTATATATGCACATGGTATTGAGTTAATTTGATTCGTGCATGTGCAGGTTTACAATGGGATTTGTGTTCCTTTTTCGGAAAGTAAATGGAAACGATTATTGTTCTTGGTGTCATTATCTAAGTTGTGTGCCTACGCCTCTATGGAGCTGTGATCCACTGTGCAATGTAAGATTTTTCTTAGGTTTAGTACGATTATTTGTGATTCGACTAACTGAGACCAATTTCTTTTGATATTTTTATGGTTTTTTAGTCGATACAATTAGGCAACCAACTAAATTTGACATGCCTAGACAATGGAAAGTCGAGGTCGTATACACTTCCGGCAGGTTATGGTGTTATCTCGGTTCAAGAACTTTGTTCAAAGCTGTGCATCTAAAATATATCCGTACAGATAGGACTGATAGAGGAAAAAGGTTCGGTCTTCTCTCTTAGTTTATAGGTACATATAACAATTAATACAACTCGTACTCTTGATATATAATTATATATTACAACCATCAGTTTGTGATATGATCAAGAATAAAAGGACATGGTGGATTCACTACTAGAAAATTTGTTTTAGGGACGAAAAAATCCCGAGGAACATATTTTAATTTGTCGGTAAAAATCCCGACAAAAATAAGCCAAGAAACTTACATGAAGTATTATATTTGCTATTATGAATGAAAAATGAAGTATGTTGCTACTATGAATAACAGTCCCTATATTAATAATTTGTTGTTATAATTGGATTAAAATAAAGTGTGTTGTTGTTACGATAAAAAAAATAAGTGAATGACCTATATATCGGTAGAAAAGTAAAGTATGTTGTTATTATGGAATACTTTGTATGTTGCTATAATGGATAAAAAATGTTGATATATATTTTTTGTTTGCTAATTATATATGTTTGTTTTAAGGTTAAAGGCATGGAAAAGAATTTTGATAAAAATAAAAAAAAATAAAAAATAAAAAAAAACAACAACAACAACTAAGGTGTTCTTTGTTTTTTTGAAGTCAAAATGTCTGCGGTCCGCGGACCACATCTGCAAGCATCTGCGGCAAAAGAGGTGGACCAAATGTCTGCAGTCTGCAATTAGAAGACTGTTTGTTTTTAACGTCTGCGGGCTGTTAAAATAAATTGAATTTTTAAGCTTAATTTCATGTCATAAATATAAAAAATTCATTTTTAACAAAAAAAGAAAGAAAGAAAGAAAGCCATTTTTTTTTTGTTTAGGTTAAAATGAGGTCTGAAGACCTTTGAAGACAGTGGCTCATGTCTGCGCCAGGAAGACCTCGCGCAGACGTTTTCTGGTCTGCGTACTTCCAAAAAACAAACAATCTGCGAGGGCATATGTCTACGCGTTGTCTGCGCGGCGCAAATAAAAGTGGTTGCACGGATCTTCACACAAAAAACAAACAGCCCTAACTCAACTAATGAGACAATTTGGTAACCCTCTGAAAATCCATTTTAGTTTTGTTGTAATTTTTTTTGTTAAACATGCTAGTAAGTACAAATACCTAATTGTTTTGGTGAAGTATTGGATGGTAGCTATCATTTTGGTAATGTATTTGATATTTGGATAGGAGTTATCAATTTGTTGAAGTATTCCATAATAGCCACCATTAGGGATGAAATTGTATTGAATTGTTTTTATATATGTATAATATCATTGTGGTTGAAAGTGCAAATTGGATGAATTTGTATTTGATTATTTAGTTACTATATAGTTTATAAAAAACTTTTTTGGAATCTTTGTATTTTATAGATTTTTAAAAAAAATTGCATTACTACCAACACAATACGAATAGAATAATGCACTAAAGTAAACTCTTTCGAAAAACTAATACGTCGGAAATGAACTGTTGGAAATAAGCTCTATGCGAATTTTGTCAGAAATATTGTGTCAGGAAGCCTCGTGGGAATTTCCTACGAAATATTTTGTCATAATTTTGTTAGAATTTTCTTAAGAATGTTGTCGGTACCTTGTTTCCCACAAACCGGTTTCGTCGGAATTGTATTGATATGCCATGTTTCCAATTAAATACCGACAAAATAGCTTATTGGTAACCTTACAATTTTCTAGTAGTGATTTGACCGGGGACAAAGCTCATTAGGACAGGGTTTGATTGCAATGCAATTTCTATGGAAGTACAACCCCCGATTTATGCACAATCTGAGCTTAAGGTCCTTTATTAATTACATGTTCGTCCATAACCCTAGTTACAATTCAGTCTTGGTCGTTACCTTGTTTTTTTTCATAATAATAATAACTAGACTAAATTACATCCTTAGGTATGCTAAATCGGACAAGTTGAATCCAAGTTCTTTTTCTTGCACCACTAGTTCTTAAGGTGCTCTTGCACCAATCTTCCCACCCTCTAACATAGTTAGAATTCTGATATTAAATGTTTATAAAAAGATGGTTTTGACCTTGTTTTGATATTTTATAAGAAGAAAAAATTAAAAGAAAAAAATATTTAGCTTGCTTGATGGGTCTTTATGTAGGGGTGAACAAAACGGAACTCGAAAACCGAAAAACCGAAACCATAATAAAAACCGACAGGTTGGGTTTGATTTTTTTTTAAAAATCGAAATATTAGGTCAATTTTGGTTTTATAAAATGTGTATGTCGTGATGAGGTTTACACCTTAGCGTCCATCATTCGAGTCGTTTGAAACCCATATCCTATGGTCTAAATTTTTTCTATCGTTCATGTTCCTTACATATTTATCACAATATATAATATTATTGATCCCTATATCGAAATAATTAAAGAAAAAAAAGGGGTAAAACCATTTTGTAGTTTTACTTTGCATTGAAGTTAGGGATGAACAGTTTGTCCCAAATCCCGATCCTATACCGGTACCGTACCGGAAGCGGTACCGAACAGTACCGAATTTAAAAATATAGGATGATACTTGGTACTTTAAATATATGAAATTCGAGAATCGATACCGCCGGTACCGATACTAGTACCGAAAATCGGTACCATTCCCGGTACCTGTACCGCTGTTGTTAATTCAGTTCGGTACTCGGGATTGACTTTCGACCAAATTCAGTTTTCGGGAAATCGGGAACAGTACGGGTCAGTATCGGTTCTGTCTCACGCTCATCCCTGATTGAAGTCATGGCCATTGTTTTCGTCCACCTCCTACTCAGCTTTATTTCCTTCCACTTCTCTACTACTTTCTTCCATACCAATTTTGGTGTACATATCACCACAAACACTTACACACAAAAAAAAAGGTAGAATAAATAATAGAAGAAACATTAGGCCTAGCAATTAGGTTGGCTTCGGGTTGGCGGGTTGTAGGTCAGAATACATTGACCCAACCCAACCCATATAATATATTGGTTGGTGGGTTGGCGGGTCACGGGTTAGTGGCTTGAAAACATCAACCCAACTCAACCCATATAACTCGTATAAGTATATGGGTTCGTAGGTCAGTGGGTCGAACCCAACCCCTATAACCCATTTAATAAACAACACATTTTAAAATGAAATTACAAATTACAAATAAAATGAAGTCATAAAGTCTTAAATATTTAACCTAAAGTCATAAACAAGAGTGGCAACAACGAATGGTGTGCGACAGCCGGAGGACGAGAAGACGAGTGGTGTGCATGCGACACTGCGATAGTTAGTGACTCGATGCCTCAATCGACAGACACGGAGTCGTGAGTTTGGAGATTGAAGACTGAATTTCTATTTGATTAGGGGATTCTTAGGGGCTAGGGCATGCTACTTTGACTCAAAGAAGTTTTGCAATTTTAGAATTCGATAAACGATTAAACGATAATCAAATATTTAAAACTAATAAATAATTAAATATTATATATATATATATATATATATATATATATATATATATATATATATATATATATATATATATATATAAGCAGGTTGGCGGATTGACCCGCGAACCCAAATAGATAAACCCAATCCAACCCATGAAATAAACGGGTTGGCGGGTCAAAAATCTCAATCCAAACCCATTTATTTTCGTATTGGATCAGTATCGGATTACGAGTTTGATCGAGGATTGTCACCCTTAAGAAACATAAGTGATCGTCCTTTATTGTGATGGTGACCATATCTCACAATGCCGCAACCACCGCGATGCACACAGTCATGGTGGCCTGCCACGTTGGCAACGAAGGCCCTAGATAAAAAGTATTCCCAATGGTCAGCATTCTTAAGCCTTTGATGGAGGAAAGAGAAAAGGTGATTTTCTCGTATCTATTTATATTAGAGGGGAAATGGAGGGAAGTGTTTTATAATATTTTTAATGACAAAAAGTCCCTTGGGCTTGATAAAGTTACAGTAAAGGCCCGTAGGCTTTACTAATTCATTTTTAGCCAATATTGTGAATATTTGCCACATTTTTCTATTGCATTATCTAAAACTTATTTGTGCTTAAGCCACACCTATCACAAAAGAGAGGTACTTATCACCAAAGGGCCAATGGTCTAGGAGTGACCATCTCATATGAGAGGTCAGAGGTTCAAGTTTCGGTGGAAACATAGGTGGTTATTTAGGACTAGATTAGTTAGTTTGCCGTTTTTAAAAAAAAAAAAAATCAAAGGCAGATGCAATTTATCATTTATTTTATGTATTAGGTGTGAGACTGTTATACGGGTTTAATAAAAAAAATTAAATATAAAAGTTTAAATAAAATTTTATTTAAATTTTAAATTTTGAATTTAAAATAAAACATATTTAATACTATATGAATATTAATATTATAATTTATTGGTTATTTTCAATTAAAGCAATTATTAAGAGGTGTTAATTAAGAAAATATAAAAAAAAAATAGAAAATGACAAATAGAAAAAACAATTATTCAAAAATACTAAAAAATAACATGTGTTCAAATTAATAAGAAAGTGATATGTGTTAAAATTATTTTCATTTGTTAGGAAGGATTTACATGTCTGATAATACAACATAATTTACGGTTTACACGATAATAACAATAAAATAAATCTAATGTCAATATAATGAAACATATTGAATGTATGTCAGATATAAATACTTTATTTTATATTACATCTTACGAGAGTGTGGCCCTATTTTACTTGGTCTATATAAATTATATATATTTTTTCGAACGGTAAAATCTAATTTACTTCTAATTTCACCAATATCTCAGACATGATTTTAAATCTCGACCCTAAGAAAAAATGACAAAACTTGTGTTAAAAGCCTAAACGGGAAACCAAATATACTAGAAGTTTTGTAAAATCAATAACATACAAGTTATAATAGCTTATATAGTTAAGCGTTCATAAACCGATACGATGACATACAAAAACGATAATTAATGATATAAAAAAGATAAACTATATTTTAAATGTTTATTTCATAATATCTCTATCTATTTCCGGC